ACTCCATCTCAAAACAATAATAATGATAATTAGAGGAGGACTTATAGCTTTAAGTATACTTCTTACAAAATAAAAAACATAAAGGAGCCAATTGTTAAAAGGTAGAAAAATAACAACTACAGAAGCTCAGAGAAAGCAGAAGGAAGGAAATAAGAATGAAAAAGCAGAAATGAGTAAAACAAAGAGCAAAAGAAAATGAAGTTGATTATAGAAGCCAAAAGCTGGTGTTCTCTTAATGACTAATAAAATAGAAAAACTTCATGTAAGATTGATCAAGAAAATGGTACAAACAATATGATAAATGGCAAACTGAACATACCAGCTAGAGTAAAAATTTTAGAAAGCACAAAAGTATACCACAAACTTTATGCCAATACATTTGAAAAATTATAAAAAAGGTAATTTTTAACAAAAATAACAATTACAAAACTTGACCCAAGAAGGAAAGTATTAAGTTGGTGCAAAAGCAATTGAGGTTTTTGTCATTAAAAGTAATAATCACTAATGAAATTGAACTAGAAGTATAGGATATGCTTCACCTTCTAAGATGTCTGGAACAAGAAAGTTTTACTGGAGTGATCAGCACACACAAAAAGACTATATTATGCAAAATTCACTGGAATACAAACAAGATAGAGAAAGCTATTCAACACATTCTATGAGACTAGTTTAATTTTGACACCAAAAAGAGAACAGCAAAATTAAAGAAAATGTCAGGCTCATCTTTATCACAAATATGTATTGAAAAAAATTCAGTCTACCAGTGTATCAAAAGAATATCTCTTCCAAAAGAGAAAATTCACATGGCTAAAAAATATGTGGGGACCAGCTGCAATAGCTCACGCCTGTAATCCCAGGACTTTGGGAGGCCAAGGCGGGAGGATCACTTGAGGTCAGGAGTTTGAGACAAGCCTGGCCAACATGGGGAAACCTCATCTCCACTAAAAATACAAAAATTAGGTGGGTGTGGTGGCATCCACTTGTAGTCCCAACTACTTGGGAGGCTGAGGCAGGAGAATCGCTTGAACCCAGGAGGCAGAGCTTGCAGTGAGCTGAGATTGAGTCACTGCACTCCAGCATGGACGACAGAGCAAGACTCCAGCTCAAAATAGATGAATAAATAGAAATAAAATTAAAATATTCCAGATAAACCACAAGATCTTTATTCTCTTCTCCCATCCCAATCTTCCTTTCCCCTTCCTAGAGGCCCTCTAGTTTGAGTTTTATAATAATCTTTTCAATCCTTAAATAGAAAATAGTTTTATATGCATCTGCTTATCTATTGGCAAATTATAATATTGCCATTTTGCATTGCTCCAAATTTGCATAAATGGTAATCTTGCTGTATCATCTTTATATCTTGCTTTTCCCCCGCTCCGTCTATGCTTTCAGGATTCATTCATGTAGACACTTGTGAGTTAATTCATTCCTTTTCATGTTATATGACTGTCCATGGTACATGACTCTTTTGCTTTTTGATTTCCTTGTTAATTGCTCTTTAGGACGTTTCATTTTCTCCTACCACATTGTTGCGGCAAATCTCAAGCACACAAGGGAGATTTTCTTCAGTTCAATTCCTAGAAGTGGAATTGCTAGATAAGCTTTTTCAACTTCAATAACACCAAATAGCTCTCCAGAGGGGCTATATACAACATTTATAACCCCACCATATACGTACAAGAGTGCTGGTCTCTCTTTACTCTTGACCACATTCTGTCATTCCTTATAGGGGAAAAGATGGTTTTGGGGCAGCTGCCACCTCAGCCTCCAAAAGTGGTGGGATTATAGGCGTGAGCCACCACTACTAGCCTGGAGTATTCTAATTTTAAACTAAAATAATAAAACTATGTATTCATATAGCAATGAATTTAAGGATTGAAAAGATTTGAAAATTGAATTTTTCAAATATTGGCTTTTAAAAGGGGATAAAGTCAAACATGCCAAAATGTTAGCAGAGGTTAATGCTGGACGGTAGAAAAATGGACAACTGCCATTTTTTCACTTTTACTTTTCTGTATTTAGAAACAAATTTCTGATAGGAAGAGTGAAAATATGAAAAAAGAATTAAAAGCGTATTTTTGAAAAGTACATGGCAATGAATGGAGATGAGGATGGGGACTAGAGACCAGGTTTTCCACAGCCCAAGTCAAGCCCTTTTCAAAGTCGTTTTCCTCAGCATCTGTATACTACATCATTTTTGTTTCTTTTTTTCTAAAGCTCAGCGGTGTGATAAATACATAATTTTTGAATTCATGAAATTTTAAGTTCAAGCCAGGTGCAGTGGCTCATGCCTGTAATCCCAGCACTCTGGGAGGCCAAGGCAGTTGGATCACGTGAGGCCAGGAGTTTGAGAACAGCCTGGGTGAAACCCCATTTCTACTAAAAATACAAAAATACAAAAAAGAAAAAAAATTAGCCAGTCATGGTGGCACGTGCCTATAATCCCAGCTACTCAGGAAGCTGAGGCGGGATAATTGCTTGAACCCAGGAGTCAGAGGTTGCAGTGAGCTGAGATGGTGCCACTGCACTCCAGCCTGGGCGACAGAGTGAGACTCTGCCTCAAAAGAAAAAGAGAAAAGAAAAGAAAGGAAATTTTAAGTTCGATCTAGTAGAGGCGATGCACACAAGTTGGTTGGGAAAAAAAGGAAAATGATCACCCTCTACGCATCACTCTTCTTAAAAGGAATGGTGACAGCTCCCAAAGGTCAACTTTAAAAATGATCAATAGGCCAGGCACGGTGGCTCACGCCTGTAATCCCAGCACTTTGGGAGTCCGAGGCGGGCAGATGATGAGGTCAGGAGATTGAGACCATCCTGGCTAACACTGTGAAACCCCATCTCTACTAAAAATACAAAATATTAGCCAGGCGTGGTGGCGGGCGCCTGTAGTCCTAGCTATTCAGGAGGCTGAGGCAGGAGAATCACTTGAACCCAGGAAGCGGAGGTTGCAGTGAGCTGAGATCGCACCACTGCACTCCAGCCTGGGAGACAGAGCGAGACTCCTTCTCAAAAAAACAAAAATAAAAAATAAAAATAAAACCGATTACTAAACTTAAAGGCAGCAGAAAGCTCAGAGGCTAAATTGAGAAATATGCACATTGCCAGAGGCATTGTAGATGATTCAGTCTCTCCACAGGGCAATTTTGCTCTTCTCATTAAGAACCCAGACATGTCTATGTTCTTTGACCCAGCAATTCCACTTCTGGGAATCTATCTGGGGAAATAATCAGAGATACTCACAAAAGGTAATGTACAAGAAGTGCATGAGAGACTTAATTATCTTAGGGGAAGAAAGAAACAACTTAAATGTCTCCCAGTGTTATGAAAGAGAATGGTTGGCGTGAGTAACAATTCTGTGGAATCCTATGTACCCTAAAAATCATGTTTTCAAAGAATACTTAATGTCAGAAAAAAATAATTCAGGATATTCTAAGAGAGAAAACTAAAAGAACACACACCAGAATATTAACAGTGCATATAAACTGTTTTTATTATTTTCTTATATTTTCCAACTTTTCTCCGAGAGTATGTCTTATTTTATAATCATAAGAGACACTATTTTTCAGAATAACTCAGTATGTGTGATCATTAAGATTTTAGATATAAGGAAATAGAGAATATATATAATAGTCTACATAGATATGATTGGGAGATAGTTATAGCCATAATTACCCAGCATCATCTGAGAATTGTTATATGTAAGATTTTTAAATTTTTATTATTATTTTTGATACAGGGTCTTGCTCTGTCACCCAGGCTGGAGCACAGTGGCATGATCAAGGCTCACTGCAGCCTCAACCTCGCAGACTCAGACAAACTTCCTGCCTCATCCTCCTGAGTAGCTGGGACCACAGGCATAAGCCACCATGTCAGGCTTTTTTTTTTTTTTTTTTTTAATTTTTAGTACAGGTGGGATTTTGCTATGTTACCCAGGCTGGTCTCAAACTCCTGGGCTAAAGTGATCCTCCTGCCTTGGCCTCCCAAAGTGCTGGGATTACAGGTGTGAGCCACCACATCTGGCCCAGAATTGTTTCACATAACTAGAATACTCCTTCAATCACCAACATTTTTAAAAGATCTTTTTCTATTTTTCTATATTAATTATTCAATATTATATCTCTCTGCTATCTGAAGCACATGATAACCTTTCTTGATGAGTACAAGGTATCTTTGATGGCTTGGCACGGTGGCTCACGCCTGTAATCCCAGCACTTTGGGAGGCCTAGGTGAGCGGATAATTTGCTGTCAGGAGTTTGAGACCAGCCTGGCCAACACGGGAAAACCTCATCTCTAATAAAAATACAAAAATTGGCTGGACGTGGTGGCGCATGCTTGTAGTACCAGCTATTGGGGAGGCTGAGGCAGGAGAATTACTTGGACCCAGGAGGCAGAGGTTGCAGTGAGCTGAGATTGCACCACTGCACTCCAGCCCGGGCAACAGAGTAAGACTCCATCTCAAAGATATCTTGAGGACAGTGACTACTCTAGGGCTTTTTGCCTTTGCAAGACATACCCCAAGACAGTGGTGAATTTTTCATTCTAGGGTCAACTTTTCATGTTATTTCCATCTCTTCCCCTCCGTCGGGCTACCAGAAGTCCTCAGCACTTATAATTCCCTTCTTCTAATGTCCTCTAACCTGAGCAAACACATAGCCAGTCTCGTTAGAAAAAGTGGCCAAAAATTAAAACTAAATCTCAGTAAAGCACAGAAGTTTTAGTGTGTAGAACTTGTTATGCTTGTTCTTGCTTTACAGACTTCTGTTTCCCCTGTGTCTGTGTTCTTGACTCTTTTTCTAAATAGATAGTGAAGCTACCAGAGAAGTGATCTCCAGATAAGATACAAGGTAACAGTGATTTCCTAATCGACTTTTAAAGAGAACTGATCAAAGGCTGAACTCAGTGCAAGCTCATCAAAACCCCCAACCCAAGCTTTTGGAGAGTTCTTGAATTGTGTTGGCTGTTCTGATCCCACGGGGAGTTTTATGCACTTGTTCTTTCAGCAGCCTCAGTATCCCCTGGGAACTTGAGACATCTAAGGAGTTGACTGAGGCCCCTCCCTGACATACTGAAGTGGAATCGGCATTTTAGCAAGATCTGCAGGTGAATTTTGAGCATGTGAATGTTTGAGAAGCCCTGATCTGTAACACATTTAGATTCTTTCATATACCCCACACCACGTGCTCTCAAAGATTTATTCCAACAGTAATATTTCTCTTTCCCTCTCAGCCTCTCTCTTTCTCTCACTGGGAGCAGGTTGTAAGTTGTTTCCACTTTGCATGTGTTTCATTTTCTCTTTTTGTTTTGAGACAGGGTTTCACTGTGCCATCCAAGCTGGTATACACTGCCGAATACTTATAAGGCCCTTGATACTATTTGATGGGATGAATGCAAAAATTGAATTTAAAAAATGAATTTTTTTGGCCAGGCGCAGTGGCTCACGCCTGTAATCCCAGCACTTTGGGAGGCCGAGGCGAGTGGATCACCTGAGGTCAGGAGTTCGAGACCAGCCTGACCAACAAGGTGAAACCCCGTCCCTACTAAAAATACAAAAATTAGCTGGGCATGGTGGCAGGTGCCTGTAATCCCAGCTACTCGGGAGGCTGAGACAGAAGAATTGCTTGAACCCAGGAAGTGGAGTTGCAGTGAGCCGAGATCACGCCACTGCACTCCAGCCTGGGCAATAGGGCGAGACCCCATCTCAAAAAAAAAAAAAAAATGAATTTTTTGAAGAGATAGGGTCTCACTCTGTCATCCATGCTGGAGTACAGTGGTGTGATCTTAGATTACTGTAACCTGAAATTCCCCGGGCACAAGTGATCCTCTTGCCTCAGCCTCCCAAGTATCTGGGAGTACAGGTGCACACCACCACACCCAGCTAATTTTGTATTTCTTGTAGAGATTGCATCTCACTTTGCTACCTAGGCAGGTCTCAAACTCCTGGCCTCAAGTGATCCTCCCTCCTCAGCCTCCCAAAGTGCTGGGATTACAGGTGTGAGCACCCAACCAGTGTGTTTCTTTTTAAATGGACAAAAGTGGAGAATTTCCTCCTCTCTATGGTTCTTCTTTATTAGTCTACCAGCTCCTTTGAGTCCCCCTTTTTATGATTTGGAAATTATTTATTCCTTCAGGAGCAATAAACAAATAGTTCCAAACTGCTGCTGCTTCTTTTGTCTTCAATAAGAGGTAGACACTAGGATTAGGGATGGTGGTTGGAGGATGAAAAAGTAAAAACCCTGCATAGAGTGTCTGTTGCAAATAAAGAGCTTGGTGAATATGGTTGCTGTTCTGATGTTTCCGAAGTGTTTTACTCTTTGTCATTTAATAAGGTTTTTTGAAGTTATGACTATAATTTGATTGAAACATATAGATACTATATATATGCCACCGTGATCATAAAAATAGAGATGCAATCACATTTTTAAATCTCTTTTAATTAAAACTCACTTGAGGCCAGGCATGGTGGCTCACGCCTGTAATCCCAGCACTTTGGGAGGCCGAGGTGGGCAGATAACCTGAGGTCAGGAGTTAGAGACCAGCCTGGCCAACACAGAGAAACTCCATCTCTGCTAAAAATACAAAAATTAGCCGGTCGTGGTGGCACATGCCTGTAATCCCAGCTACTCGGGAGGCTGAGGCAAGAGAAACACTTGAACCCAGGAGGCAGTAGTTGCAGTGAACCAAGATTGCGCAACTGCACTCCAGCCTGGGCTACAGAGCAAGACTCTGTCTCAACAAAAAAAAAAAAAAAAAAAAAAAGGAAAAAGAAAAAAAGAAACCTCACTTGAAAATGGATTAGAAAACCACAGTTGAAAAGGGAGTAACTAGTTGACTCACCACATTTTTCATTTTCAGTCAGGCATAGTGGCTCACGTCTATAATCCCAGCACTTTGGGAGACTGGAGTTTGAGGCCAGGAGTTTGAGACCAGCCTGGGCAACACAGAAAGACCCCATCTCTACAGAAAACTTAAAAATTAGCTAGGTATGGTGGTGGTACACACTGATGAAGACCTACAAAGCCCTTGATACTATTTGATAGGATGAATGCAAACATTTAATTTAAAAAATGAATTCAATTCCTGTAGTCCCAGCTACTGGGAGGCTAAGGTGGGAGGATCACTTGAGTCTAGAAGTTCAAGGTTGAAGTGAGCTATGATCACACCACTGCACTCAAGCCTGGATGACAAAGAGAGACCCTGTCTCTAAAAACAAAACAAAAATTTCATATTTATTCAATTTTTACATTCATCCTAACAAATCTTATCAAGAAAGTGTTCAGCAGTGTGGTGAGATTCAAAGATGAATCTCCATAGTCCTTAGGTCAGGTTGCTCTCAGCTGGTAAGAAAAAATAAGATGAATGCACATTAGTAAGTGTAATCAACAAAGGAATTGCTGGCCGGTTGGAATGACTCATGCGTGTAATCCCAGCACTTTGAGAGACTGAGGCAGGAGGATCGCTTGAGCCTAGGAGTTCGAGATCAGCCTGGGCAACATGGTGAAACCCTGTGTCTACTAAAAATACCAAAATTAGCCATGTGTGGTGGCACACGCCTGTGGTTCCAGCTACTGGGGAGGCTGAGGTGGGAGTATTGCTTGAGCCACTGTAGAGTTCAAGGCTGCAGTGAGCCATAGATTGTGCCACTACACTCAGCCTGGGTGACAGAGTGAGACCCTGTCTCAAAAAAATAAAAAAAAGAAAAAGAAAAAGAAAGAACGAATGAAAGAAAGAGAGAAAAAGAAAGAAAAGAGAGAAAGAAAGAAAAGAAAGAGAGAAAGAAAGAAGGAAAGAAAAGAAAGAAAGAAAAGAAAGAAGAAAGAAAGAAAGAAAGAAAGAAAGAAAGAAAGAAAGAAAGAAAGAAAGAGAGAGAAAGGAAGAAAGGAAGGAAGGAAGGAAAGAAAGAAATTGCTAAGTGCTGTTAGTTTATCAATTAAGCTGGTTTAGGTACAAGAAACTGATGTGATAATTTAAGCAAAAAAGTTTATTGGAAGGGTAGGAGGGTATTGGGGTATATTATTCAGGACAGGCTAGGTCATGCTGCTATAACACACATTCCCAAAATTATTATTTCTAGGTCATGCAATCTACCACATTTGGATCAGCAGGAGGCTCTGCCCTCCTCTCACTCAGACTAACGGAGGTTCCACCGTCTATCTGGTGGCTGCAGCCCTGAAACATGGAGCCTTATTGGTGTGACCATGGCAGGGGAAGAAAGAGGCTGGGGGTTTGCACAGGGGGTTTTTACTGCCTCAGCCTGAAAGTGACATGTGTCCTTTCTACTCTAGGATCACTGGTCAGAACTAGTCACGAGATCTTCCCTAACTGCCAGAACGCTGGGAAATGAAAGGGAACAATGGAATCCTTGGCGAGCATTACTGTCTGTGCTCCAGGGTGGCTCGTAGACTCAAATGAAAATGCTGGAGCCTCAGATCTGGGACTGAATGTGGACCAGAGAACTTGGGAGACCTTGCCAGCAGCAGTGAATGGAGGTCTGGTCAGGCTGTCATCCATTTTCAGCTATCTGTCACCCTCTCAGGATTTGCACTGGAGAAAGAGTGAGAGGAGAGAGAGAGAGAGAGAGAACAACTGATTGGCCCAGGCAGGTTCTATGTCCCACTCGAAACACAAGTTAGTGGACAACTTGATTGACATTCGAGTTGCACTAAAAGGTGGTGGGGGGAGTTCATCCAAACAAAATTGGGGGGCTGTTACAACAAGAGAGGGAGGGTGGGTGCATTGTGAGCAAAAGCACACACTTGCTGCAGAGCTGGTCCAAATACCCACTCTTCAGAGTTGACATCATCTGGAAGGTTTGTAGAAGTGGGGGCTTTCCAGATTAGCTTTGAAGGATGGGATAACTGATGCAGAGGAAAGGTAATGCAGGCTGAGAGGCCCGTGTAAGCAAAGTGAAGTTGCAGAAGAGTGCAATCATTTGCAAGAAAGAGAAGACTGGCTGGGTGCAGCGGCTCACACCTGTAGTCCCAGCACTGTGGGAGGCCAAGGTGGGAGGATCCCTTGAGCCCAGGAGTTTGAGACCAGCCTGAGCAACGCAAGGAGATCCCATATCTACAAAAAATTTAAAAATTAGCCAGGCATGATGGTGCATGCCTATAGTCCTAGCTACTCGGGAGGCTGACGTGGAAGGATTACCTAAGCCCTGGGAGGCTGAGGCTGCAGTGAGCCATGATTTTGCCACCACACTCCAGCCTGGGCAACAGAGTGAGACCCTGTCTCAAAAAAGAAAAAAAAAAAAATGAGAAGGCTATTGAGATTGAACAGAGGATATGATTTGCAGTTACATTTTCCCAGCTTATCTTTGCTTCCCATGGTGTCAACTCAGGGGACGCAAATGGTTGAAATGGCTCAAACTACATCATGAGATTGGAGCCTGGTCCTCCATGTTGACTGAGAGTCTCAGTTCTCCTCCACGTGGCCTCTCCTTGTGGTCAGCTTACATTTCCTCAAAACGTGGTGGCCTCAGGGCAGTTGGGTTTCTTGTGCGCTGGCTCAGGGCTCCTGAGAGGATAAAATCAGAATATCTTGTTCTTCGTCAGGCTTGGGCCCAGACTAGCATAGCATCATTATCTTTTTATTCTGTGAGTTAACGTATTTCAGAGGACCAGTGCCAATTCAGAGTGGAGACGGCTGCATAAGAACACGAATACTGGGAGGTGGCTTCATTTGGGGCCATCTTTGGAGACCAGCTACGGTGCATGATGTAACTGCCCTGAATTCCCAAGCTCCTGTCCCCAGCTCCAGCATAAGGTAGGTAAGAAGTGACTGGCAGCATAAGAGGGTCATGTTGGAGGAAAGATAAGTCTGGAGCTGAGCTTTCCAGGTGTTCGGTGTCACAGATGAAAATGATGGTGCTAGGGAAGAGGTAGGGCAGGAGGTCTTTCTCTTCATGGGCCTCTTCCCAGATTTCCCCGGTGTATCTTGTTGACTGAAACTGAATCACATCAGCACCTCTTACTGCAAGGAAGCCTGGGCAAGTCAGAATCTGTGAAAGGGAAGTGGGTTTGTTATTTCTGGCCTAAGTCAACCCTGATTCATTCTCCAGGCATGTGTGGGCCATCGCAGCTTGAATTAATCAGGACGGAAGAAG